GGAATCTTGATGAGAAAGAACGTAATCGAGGAATGCTTGGGTCTTCTGGTTCAAAACCTGGTTGTTGACAAGAATACCGCTTGGTATCATTGCGTTCTGAGTTGACACAACGACGCAATGAGTGGAGAGGATTTGGGATACAGGATACGCCAACGCACAAACCAATAGCTACCAGCTGTCATTGGACAGTAAGTGGCAATAAGGGAAAACCTGCCAGACTACATACCTTCTTCCAGATTCGAGTAAGCGCTATTACCACCAGTCCAGTCTGTTTGAGCTACACTGCACAAGAAGTTAATCAAATCACCCTAAGGGAGATAGGGATACATACTAATTGTAGAACTCATGTTCATGCCCGGCCAACCCATTATTTTGGAGCACAATCTAAAACGAGCTGATCAGCGCTCCGCTAGTCGTCGAAAACGTATAGAGGTTTGTACATACCTGGTCGCGTAGCCATCCCGAGGGGAGGATCTGGCCGAGTGGCAACGACAAGTACTTCTTCGGAGCAACTAGATACCACGAACCTGTCAACGAGCCTGAAACGGAGAAAGATACAGAGAACCCGACTCACGTCCAGTCTGCGCAGAAGCGAGACCGGCTATTCCGAGAAGCAGCGACGAGATAGAGAGACGAGAGAACATTGTCCTGTGTGCACAATTCCGTCGGAGTGGCTTAAATAAGATGCCCTACTTGGGCTGTAGGTATGAGGGAAGCGAGAAGATTGAAGTTGGATGAAGCCCGAGTAACTGCCGCTTCCTCGGCGCGGTGAATCAAGAAGCAAGTAGAAAGATCTCTCGAACTCGGTCAGGGCAAGCCACCCATCCCAAAAAGCAAGAGCAGCAGGAATGGAGGGTCATCGAGAGCCACGGTCCGTTTGGTCGCCACCCAGGCCCGGGGAGTGCATATGGCTCAATTGAACGAGACCCGTGGTGATGTTCACGATGGTTGAACATTGATCTATCCTGACCTTCTAAGTGACGAAGACCTATTAATATCTCTTAGAAACTCCGAGAAGAACTCACATGAACTTTGGAATAGGGGAGCCCGAACGGAGGTGGCGGTTCCCTGTGTTTCTTCCTGGCCAGCTCTTATAATCGGTCTCAGTGGCACCTTCGAACGTCAGGAAGCCCATCAAGCCCCAGCGAGTCACTGTCAATAGAGTGAATGGTAACGTGGACTGAGGAACAGTAGAGGTTTTGGAGACGTACTGTTACCCAGATTCGGGGCTTACAACGTTCCTTTAACATGTGGTCGAGTATTCAAGGCGGAGAAGCGGTGTTCCCCCATCCTATATCCGGACAGCCAAATCGTCAAGTGGTTGTGGCTTCGGTGGAGACTCCAGGTACTGGTCGACTATGTATACAAAACATGTAAGTTTCCGTGTAAAGGTTTCCAAGGTTCCCACAATGTGCGGCCAGTGGAGAGGATCTCGTGGTCGATTCGAGGCCGTGACAGAGTGCGTCTTCGTGTCATCATGACAGAGCGGGCTGATGAATCGGTTCTATAGGGCAGCGGACTGAAGGTCATCAACTTGTTTCAAGGGAAATTTTTTGGGAAGTTTCGGTCGTCGCGGAGTCGCGAACAGGACGACACTGGCCGCGTGGACCTGCAACCGACATTCAGTTTTGCAAGTTAAGGAGGCCACCAAGGAAGCCACTGAGTAGGGAGACGGCAGGGTATTCATGACAATCCAAGATCGAACGGGCGCAACGTTAACAAGTGGACGATGGACATAGTGGTTTGACTTTTAGAAAGGAGTGACACATGTCACACATGAGCACGGGATCTTGGTCACGCGTCAACAATTGCGGTTCCCACTTTTTCAATTTGAATTTCAGCTTGACCCCTCCCAGTGACCACTCACATCCATCCACGAACCCGACGCCGTTGAGGCGTCAAGTCTATCACTTGAACTCAATTCATCTCATCAAGAACCTTTCACGAAACTATGAAGCGGATCCAGCGGCTACAAACTCCACCAAGCGCAATATCATCGTCAGCAACTTGAGATAATCAGAACCAGATTGAATTAGTGGGGGCGCTTGCCAACGCCTACTCTCCCAAAGTTATGCTAAGATCGTGGATGGTATTCGTGCCACTGTGGTATAAGAGCGCAAGTAGCTCTGGATTCTGAACTTCCAGCATACCCCTCATTGCACGGAACACAACTCAAATGTCTTTCAGCCTCAGCCACACCCAATACGATCTAATGGATCAACAACTTCCTCTCGTTGTCGCTGTCATAGTCACAAGTGCTTTGCTTCTCTACCGTCGTGCTCGCAAATCCGGAAGTATGATTGTTGGCGACATACTTGGCCCGAAGAGTCCCGGATTTCTTCTAGGTGAGGTTTTAATTGTACCTATATTCAAGTCGCCGCCCTGTTTGCTATTGCTGACCCGGTCGGAATACACGCCAGGCAATTTCGGAGAGTTCATCCGCGCACAAGCTGGGGAGGTGAGTCGAAATTCAATGACTCTCGTACCCTCGATGGAGTCATTGATCATAATCGCAGATGGACTTCAAGTGGTTCTCTCAATTTGGAAGGGTCGTGCGGTTCAAAGCGGCATTCGGGGTAGTGTTGACTCTTCATTCTTTGCACACATTTGCACTGTCTAACGTCCAACTTTGAATACCAGGAAGACGTTCTCCTCGTATCTGATCCCAAGGCTGCCCAACACATTCTCCAAGGCTACCGATGGGGGACTTCAGCTGAACAACGTGTCCGTTCCTTCTTCGAGGTCGGTCCCAGCCTTATCTATGTACATGGTTTGTTTTATTTCCCTGCTCACCGAGAACCCGTCTAATTGTTTGCTCTTATCGGCGAAGGCGAAGAACACAAAAGGCACAGACGGATCATGAATCCGGCCTTTGGGCCTTCCGAAGCAAAAGCCTTAGTTCCTATCTTTGCCGCGGCCGCTTCTTCTGTTAGTCTTTCTCTCCGTGCTGTTGTCAACTACATCCTTACTGTGTTCAAACCTTTTGCACCCACCCGCGCCGACAAGCTTACCAACAAATGGAAAGACCTTCTCTCCATGTCGTCCGAGGACCAGTCCGAAGTATTCAATATTCCTCAATGGGCGTCTCGTGCTACTTTAGACGCTATTGGACACGGTATGGCTCCGATGATCCAGATATGTGCCATGAAAATGACTCGTCTCACCTTACTCCTCCGCAGCGGGCTTCGACTACAACTTTGGCGCAATGGATGACCAGGACAACAGGCTCGCGGATGCATACAGGGATCTTTTGTACGTGTCTATCATCTTATTTCCTCTCTACCCTGCTAAGAGTGTAACAGCACCGACATGTTCGCCCGGCCGACTGACCGTTTTTTACTCATCGGAGCCCTCAGTTCTTACATCCCGACACCTCTCATGTCAAGACTCCTCGAATATCTTTCCCAAAACAACCGAGAAGTCCGATTGGCACGTGCGCGAATGGCGAGAGAAGTAGGGACGGAAGTTGCGAGAGAATTGGTCAGCGAAAAGGTTGGGGAAGTTTTGGACGGTGAGCACGGGAAGGGGAAGAAGGATGTCATGTCGCTTCTAGGTGAGTGGCAAGCTTTCTTTCGGCTCCTGTGCGGTTTGTTTGACCTCGTTCCATGTCCCGCTTAGTCAAGGCCAATATGTCTTCCCAGGACGAGAAGAATAAGCTAAGCGATGACGAATTGTACGCACAGATGCTGTGAGTCCCCTTATTTCGATTGGTGGGTAGCAAGAGCAAGTACCAATTACCTTTCGTTCCGCCAGAGTCATGTTCATTGCGGGTCACGAAACAACTGGTGCGAGTCGTGATACAGCTCTTGATTCCCGCCTTCTGAGCTTTCTTCTCGTTTTTTGCTTCTCTTTAGCCACCTCCCTTACATGGACTCTCCTCGAACTCTCCCGAAACCCCACAATTCAAGATACTCTACGCAACGAGATCAATGATAAGAGGCGTCAGCTTGTCAATGAAGGACGCACGGAGACCGGGTTCAAGGCAGAGGACTTCGAGTCGATGCCATATTTGAACGCAGTTGTAAAGGTTCGGACGGCTTCGTTGTTGCTTCCATACGCTCTCATGAACCATGCCCCTACCTCCTGCCCATAGGAATCTATGCGTTACCACCCCGCTGCCCCGCGAATCCCCAAAACCGCCATGGTAGACGATGTCATTCCACTCAGCCAGGGTGTCCAAGTGAAGTCGGCTGGAGGGAAGCTCAAAGAAGTCAGCGAGATTCCAGTCAAGAAGGGCCAGAAAATCTTCCTCTCGGTGGCAGCGCTTAACCGGTACGTTCCTGTCTGCTACGGCTGATATGAGCTCGGGAATACTGACCAGAGACGGACTCTTTCTCCTTCCAGAGATGAGGTAGTTTTCGGGGAGGATGCGCACGTTTTCCGGCCGGAGCGATGGCTCGAATCCAACGGCACTGGTGGTACGGGCCCGAGGCCAACGACGTCTGTCGGGGTGTACGCCAACATGTTAATCATCTTCCCTCTCGATCCTTTTTCGAATACTCAAAATACTGACCAACTCATCTTCTAGGCTGACGTTCGGCGCAGGCGTCCGTGCCTGTATCGGGTGGCGGTTTGCGTGAGTGCCTCCCACGAGATCTATCGCTTTTTGTCTTGCTCACATCGAACGATATAGTGTCCTCGAACTACAAACATTCCTCGTCGAGCTCATTTCGCACTTTGAGTTCTCTCTCACTCCGGAATGCGAACATATCAGGAGAGAGTCCTGTGTGGTCATGACGCCTATGATTGACGGGGAGAAGGGGGCGAGGTGTTTGTTGAGGGTCAAGTGCGTTGATTAGGTGTATAGAGAGCGCTTAGTAATCATGGTTCTTTCGAGATGTGGCTTTAGACAAGGGGGGTGGTTCGACGTTGAATGTTCACCATGCGCCCGTCTCTATTTGTGATTTTTTTTTTCCGCCCTCGGAGTAAGCGTTAGCATCATCTGCACTCACCTCTCAGAAAGCTCACCAAAAAAGAGGAAACATTGAACGGACCTCAAATAGCAGCAACTTGTTTCGATCAAGTGACCTCGGGGTACCAAACTCCCTTTCTGTTGAAAGAGCTTATATGGGCCCCGCGCGCTACCACTGCGCCATGCTGCTCCAATGCGTAGCAAAAGCGCTCGCAATAAGACCAAGTGTCCGAAATGCGTATTTTATTCAATGTCATTTGATTCATTGTTGAGTGCAGGTCGTTGCCAGTATGTATGCTACATTATGTTCAGAGTTGACAGAGAGACAAAAAGAAAAAAGAGAGGAGGTATAAGTTAGTCGTGATGAGAGAGGAGACCAAGAGCCAGTGAGAAATGGTATGCTATATGCTACAAAACAATGTCGTTGATGATGTTGATGTTTCTAGGTTTCTAGAATGCGTGTCGTACGGAGAATAAGGAGAGACAGAGACAGAGAGAAAGGAGAGGATTAGTAGCCAGTAGTTGGTAGATAGTCAGGCAGAGACGAAGAACAAGTGAAGAGAAACCGAAAGCCGAAAAGAAGAAAGTTATCGATACACATGCGTTTGCAACAGACGCAGGGACGCTAAACAGTTTTGATAGAAAAAGAAAGAGAAAAAGAAAAAAGGAAACTAGGGATCAACCCCGTGCACCTCAAGCCCGCAAGAACATCTCCACAGGAATAGGCTTCCTCCTCAATCTCTCACTAGCACTGCTCCCGCTGCTAATCCCAGTGGAAGCTGAGCTCGTAGAAGACGTGCTAGGTCTTCTTCGGACGTGCTTCTCTCTGGTTTGAGAGTTGTTGGAGGTATACTGAGCGGGCTTGGGCGATGTCGGCACCGGAGGCTTGGAGGATTTTGATGAGGCACTCGCAGCAGCAGTCAAAGACTGCATCCCGAAATCGGAGAAAGTAGGCGACCTGGGAGAGCCAAAGGACCATGCGCTCGACGCGGATGGCGAGGTCGGCGAAGAGGGTATCATGAACCTTGTTTGCTTGGCTCCAGGTGAGAAAGGCACACTCGTCGAGGTAGCAGCTGAAGCAGAGGAACCGGAGGGCCCGACGACCACGACACCTCGCTTCCCTTTGCTGCTCTTCCCCTTCGTGCTGGCCTTCTCCTTCTTGGGACTGAAAGTGGGAGACAACGGAGTAGAACTGAGAGAGCCACGCAGATACATCCTAAACTTGGTGACCGCAGAACTCGACGGGGTTTTCGGCGACTGAAGGTTGTTCACAGACGAGAGCGTCGATGAGGACCATTTGGATCGGAGAGGGGGAGCCTGGAGATACTGAGCATGTTTTTCTTCCTCGTCGTACTCGAGGTCGAGCGGATACTCGTAGCTGTCGTGTGATTGTTGTGGTTGTACATCATCGCCATCCCTAATCTCGGACTCGGACTCCTCTTCGATAACCTCCAGCACCTCAACGGCATCGGCAGGCGAACCAGGCAACGAAACGGGGAACCTTAACTCCGAATCCATGTCAAAGTCGACCTCAAACTGAACGTCGAACTCATCGAGCTCCGAAGGCTCGTCGTATTCCGAGGAAGAGGAAGAAGAATGCGAGGTAGTAGACACACACGGAGAATGTGTGCTCGAAGGAGCAGCGTAGTATCCAAACAACGACTCTTCGTCGAAATCGTCCTCCTCGACGGTGTCCAGAGGAACAACACTCATCCTTGGGAGAGGCTTTGCGATCATGAGTGAGGGAGGGCGGGGACGGGATGGTTTTGCTTGTGTAGTGGGCTCCGGTGAAGGGCAAGGGGAAGAGCAAGGGGAGGCTGACGCCGAGGATACGGGAGAAGGGGTGGTAGGTGGTGGTGGTGGTGCCCTGGTAGGGATCAAGAAGCTCCTCCTTCCCCAAGCGGGGTCCAATTGGGCACTCGGGAAACATGCTCTGCTCGGTGAGAACACGTTCTCTGGGATGCTAGGCAGCGCTTTGTCCATCGGCTCAACGAAGGCACTTTGTCTCCTCCCAACGCTGGCCGGTTGCCTCTGAGGCACCGACGAGTCGAGGGTGAGTAGGGAGCCGATTGCGTGCGTATAATAGTCATCGTCCGAGTACGCTGAGGATGATAGCGAGGCCGGCGATGGTGACCTCATGGGCGGGATAACGACGAAGTTCTCGGTGTCCAACGGGCTGACCTCTCCGTCCTCGAACTCCACCTCCGACTCTTCCTCTAACGGTGCCGAGAAGAAGTTTCCGAAAGACAGAGTTTGGTCGGTATTCCTCTTGATAATCGTCAACGGCCTGACTGAAGCCCTCTTGCCCTTGGTAGTAGCAGTGAGCACGGGGCTTGCCTCGGGTGTAACGGGCAATCCACTCGAGGTCGAGCTCGGTGACGAGAATGGCGAAGTTGGCGGGGAGAAGTGGTGATTTGAGGGAGTTGGGAGAGGCGGGTAAGGGAATTGAAATGACAGTTGGGCAAAGTCTGGGGAAGGGCTGGTGGATGTCGAGCACGAGTCTTCTTCATCTATGTACTTGGGTTGACGAGGAAGGCGGATGTCAGAGCTATGCAGGCCTTTAGTTATGTCGTCAAGTGAACATGAGAGGGAGACGTACGTTTTAATCCCCTTTACATTTCTCGAACTAGCCTTTCGGCGGATCTTTTGAGTTTGGTGTTTCTTCAGGACTGCAACCCTTGAGTTAGTTAAAAATAGAGATAGAAGTATAAGAAAATACTCACAAGAAGGAGTCATTGTCATGGTCATCTCGAATATTAGTGGTAAGTCGTCAAATGCACAAGTGCGAGTAAGTCGGAACAAAAAGGTCAAAGCGAGTCTCGTCGCTGTCGTTAAACGAGAGAGAGAAGGAATGGGAGAATAGCCCAGCCTTACTCGAGTTATTATATTTTTCATCGTCAATAGGGACAATAGCACGGCAAGGATAATGGGAGGCACGACCCATTGTCTTCCGTCAGCCCATTGTCCGCATTGTCCTTGGGCGCTTATCTCGGCTTTTGAATGGGAACCCCGGATGGGGAAACTCCTGATGACTTGAGCTGAAAACAGACCCTCAGTGCATCTTGATTTGGAATAGAACGGTTCAGATGCATATAGAGGACATGAATGGAACGTTATAGGACTCGAGAGCAGCGGGGATGGTGGTGAGAGCAAAGTCGCGGCGTGTTTGTTTGTACACCCGCAACCCCGGCCCGACCAGCTAGTGTACAAACAAACCAAGGTCCCACAAGCGCCCACAACGTTGAATACTCACACCTGCGCTGAGTCCAAGTTATAAATCCCAGCGAGGACGGCAATTCAATAAAAAAAGAGCTTTGACCCCAGCTCTGAGCCTTTGGATTCACGAGGGCATTTACTTTGGGGTCTCATACAACTGGGTCGAGATGAGGTTCGACTCAGACAACTCTCGATCTACGGCGCCGCCAGGTCCTGTGAAAAAAACGACCTCAACGAAATGCGCATGTGAATAGCGAGTCTGCAATCTTGGCAGGGCACCGTTCATATGACAACAATGTCTGGGTGCACGAGGCAAACTTTCGTTATTTTTTGTTTGTACACCCCAAGTGTCCAAACAAAAGAAACTAGCGACCATGCACCCACAAGTGCCCACAGCTCAGATCCGGAATTCCGCACCGAGTTCCTTCAACCTCCTGACGTCATCTCTCCAAATCGTCATCTCTTCACTCTTTCGCATGTTTTCTTCCCTTCATCTCCGTCGTCATACAGCAAGTGCGCATGATTGTCATTGAATAGAAAAACTGATAAGCACTGGCAGCATGTTACGTCTCCGCGGCGTCGTAAACGGATGTCATCGTTGTGTTGTCGATGTCAAAGCTCCAGTCTGCTCCAGCTCCAACCCGTTTCAAAACTCCAAATCATCAGTAATTAGCGGGAACGTTGCGTCCACGACTCGTGCAGTGACGAGTACGAGTACGACTACGTTATCGACACGTCTAAAACTAGATTATGATAGTGAGTTTCATACTTGGTAGCCACCTCGCTCTCAATAGCTCACTGCAAAAATAGTCGACATCGATATCATCTCGGGTTTACCGCACGTCCCCCTCGGGGCCTCTCCACACTCGGGAATTAGAATATTAATGACAGTATCTGACATCTCCAGTACCTTCTACGTTCTATGAACTTCTACAGGCTTCTACATTTAGTTCCATAGGGGGCTACCCCATTCGAGTTTATTGTATAGGGCCGCAGCCGCTACTCCCACGGAGTCGATACCCATATGACGAAGATCTTCCCAGCAGGGATTTTCCAGAGATCTCCCAAGGGGCCAAGGACTCGAACCTTCCAGGCTTGAAGTTCACGAAGTAACCTCGGGGAATTAATGTGATCAGCACGTCTCGGGGCGTTGTCGAGACGGGGGTATATACCTTACCTGATTGTCCTGGGCTATAAGCAGCCCCATAGTGTGTTCAATTCGAAGAAAAACAAAGTCGAACAGGTCCCCATCAAACATAGCAGCAACTTGTTTCGATCAAGTGACCTCGGGGTACCATTTTTGGTGGACGACACTCATATGGGCCCCGCGCGCTACCACTGCGCCATGCTGCTTCACGCCACAAGTAGAACGAAGGCTACCTTGCACTGGCAGGCGGGAAAATCCTATGTTCCGTCGAACAACTTGAACCTGGTTAACCAGGGCAACATCCCCAAGACACGCTCTAGCCCGTCCATGAACAGCACATTCCGAATCCACCTTCGAAACGGAAAAACGGAATATGGGTATCTCCCTCAAACTCGAGTCTCAGTCTGGAATGGAATGGCAAAGAGCCCTGGAACTGAATGAACGTCCCATGACAACCGAGGCCCTGACGACGGCGTGCTACCAACTAGAAGCCAGACCCCCCGACGATATGATATGATCGGGATGACGCGACGCGACGCGGTCGTGAGTCCTTTGCGTGAGCACGGGTTACCAGTTCGACCGTTCCAGACCTCTTTGAGAGCTTCCAAAATTCTCAGAACTGAGACAGAGACAAGGGGAAATGAAATCTGCGGGAAACTAGGGTTTTAGGCGGCATTCCGTATCTGTATTCCAAGGTGTCAAGTCTCGGAAGGGTCAGGTCCTCCTAAATATTAATGAGCAAAACGAGAAGGGTTTTTGAGCTCAATTTGCCACCGGAAGAAATGATTACCCAAAATTGAGGTACTTGCAATGTGCTTGAAGTAAAGTTCGACAAAGGGCCATGCTTTGCATATGACTGCCATCACGATAAAGGGACGAAATCGAGTCTCCAAGACGTTAGAAGGCTTTAATTTCATCTCGTAAACGGTAAGGTGATGGTAGTGTCCGGATTTCAGTCGGAACCTTGGAAAAACGATGAGGGCGAGAGGTGAAACGTTGCGCAGTGACCGGTGACCTCTGGCATTCGGCAGGAACGAGTAAAAGGATTAGCGGATGCCAGAGAGGGTAGCTTGGTGATAGCATTTGACCGCGCCGAAACTTTGGAACACCCTGGCCCGAGACTGAAGGAGGCTGAAAGAGCTTTTTCCTTGGAATACTGCAGTGGCACGCATATAAGAACCAAGAACTATAAGTGTTGAAGAGAACCAGAGATAGACCGAGATTCCGAACAGGAAATGAAGGAGGCTTGAACATGGAGTCGGTTGAGACAATCCAAACTCCGAAATAGGCTGACAGGGTGCGGCTTACACATCCTGAAGCTTAGGATTGCTGATTACCCCCGATGGAAGAGAAGGGCTTGGAATGCTCGCCGACGATCTCTGAAATTGGCAGATTGGCACCCGAGAGCTTGGATGTAGTGCATCGATGTTCCGGACCTATTGTACGGAAGGAGAAGAACGTACTTCCGTTCAATGCTTTCCGCATATTTTGAATGGACTCTAACTAACCTCGAGTTCTTTTGCGGCGTCACAGTGGAGTTCAACTGAAAGAAAGGAATAATGAATGAAAATGATGGTGTTGGAGACAATGACATGTCTTTGTACCTGGTCCGTGGCAGTGCGCCATGGGCAGGCGAAACATCATTCTTCCCACGGTTTTGTCGTTATGTCATGCTTACCCCCCTATATATACCCGCGCATCCTTTCGCTCGACCACTACGCTCCCGCACTCTACCGCGTCTCTCAAATCCCTTGCGCTCGCGCACTTCACGATAATCACGACGACCACTTTACCCACGCCCTCCATCCTGTTACATTAAAAATGTTGACAGTCAACCCGGCATCGGCCACAGCCTCTACGACAGCATCGGTGGGCAGCACCGCGAAAATAAGCAACGCGACACGGATATGGGAGCTGAATCTTCAGTGGCCTGTATACAGCCAATGTGGGGTCTGGGATCCAAGGAGCAAGGGTGTAGATATTTGGGAATGTGTTAGAGATCGTGAGTATCGTGTTATTGTCTCTTGTCTTCGAATGTTGACCGTTGACGCTGTGCATGAAGACGTGTCAGTATCTGGTACACAACCACCCAACGCCAACTACTGGCGATACCTTGCAAGGCGATAGATGGCCTTCAACAGGAGGACCCACTACCCACTCGACTGGCACTGTTCATGTCAGCCGGCACACCACCAGAACGGAAATGCATGCCACTAAACATTGCCTTCTCATTCGCCTCTCTCCCGACACCGACAATCGTTATTCTTCTCTGCGCAAGAAGCACACGAGCCGCCCTCGTCATGCAGCGCACACGAAACCCCATTGTTGTTGTCACCAAACAATGTCTTGCCACCTTGTAGGTTGCAGGCCTTCCCTTCGATCCTCGAATGCACACACAAGGGTCGCTGGGCGACCCCTCCCTTCGCTGTTCGTGTCCATGGTTTTCTTTTTTCTTTTTTCTTTGGGTTTTAGGTCTTTCTTGGGTATTTAGTTGGTCGGTTGGATCCAGTTGCTTTCAGGTTTCTTTGTCGTCCTTGTTTTGGTTCTTTCGTCGTTGACATATAGCACGGTATCCTGCCTGTACCCGATTTCTTTTGCTAGCTTTACTCTAGCAGTTGTAAGTAGTATGTATTCGTAGCTCACCCACTCTCACTCATACACGGCACAGTCGATCGCACGCAAGTATATAACTTATTCGCTCAACATGCTTATTTGCTTCCCTGCTCGCTTTCTCTATTGCCGTTTCACCGATGTTGATGCATGGACCCTTGCCAATCTTTCGCCGTCCCGAGCTATCTCGAGCTCAGTTCTGAGAAATCGGGGGTTTCGATGATGCTAATGTGACGTCACTTTCGTGTAATCCCATAAAACATAGTTTGCGGTCGATTTCCGGGTTCACACCTTCCGCACCCGAGGTAAATAAGTTGAGTGAGGGAGGCTCCATATTAGTGGCCAGTGCTGAGCCTTCTATCTCTTGCCCCACTACCATCACTATCTATGGAGTATCGTAAAGAAGACTTGCAAAGTTGCTTGGTTTGGAATAAAGGTTTGATTTTCTGGACCAGTGACTAGTGACGCTAACGCTGACGGGATACTAGAGGCTAAGGCTTTGATTTCTTGGCATTTTGGGCAACTTCGTGGATCTGAATCCGGGGTCTGGGGTCGAGTAAGCTCGGGTCCTTGACCGTTGACGAGAACTTAGATGTCTCGAGAACAATTATCGTACACACAATACCGCCGACCGGAGTTCAAGAGTGAAGAAATCAAGAGGAAACCTGCCAACTGGATGTCTAATTCAGTCTCTCAACTGACCTGACGGCTTCCATTTAATGATTGTGGTCAGCGGAAGATACCGATTATGACTGAAATAGCTACTAGCATTGCACGTTACACTGCAGCTGTCTCGCTACTAGTTCCCGGCGGCAATGAAATGGAGATACGGGATGGCACGCCTGGGCTGGGCTTCAAGGTACCGCTCGAGTTGCTAGTGGCTTTTTTTTTCGTGCCCCAAACACGTCGAATTCCAGTGTCGAGGCAACTCTAGATCGAACCAAGCAGACTGAGGCTTCAACTCGAGCTACGGCCCGATTCGGAGGCTACACGGTACGGCGAGTTACAACAGGCTCAATCGGCGGGAACATCTGCGACCGAGCAATCCAGGAACCGGGACACCGAGCAATCACTGTGACTATTAATACTATCAATCTCGGGACGATGGAGAATCACTTGAAACTCGGGGTGACTCTCAAACTATGTCTATATCAAGACCTCAAGAAAGAAGGGTGCTCCTGGAATCACGGTTACGGTGAAATTCCTATCATTAGATATCATGCCACGTACAGCTAAATCTTAATGTAGCTTCGCTTTGACACACAGTCACTCGGGTACTTGAGACTCGGGACCCTATGGATGTATTTATATGGTACTTGTGCTGGACCGGAGTCGCGAACACCGAAAATGCAAGATGTCGTTGGTATTCGGGGTCATAAAGGGAGTGGTATCACCTATGTCCGAGTCCCAGGTCGAGAAGCCGGAAGAGCTCGTGCCAAGGAGGGCGGGAGAGGCGGGTTTGTGATGCTTGGTCGTCAGTTGATGATGATGTTACGTGGTGTGCAGACTGTAATTGGTCCTAACTTGTCGTACCATCTATCAATACGAGACCGCGAGGACGGAATCGAATAGCCTGCGAATCGAGGGTTCTCATTGGTACTAATTCTGGTGTTCGAGGACTTGATGTGGATACATGGCGAATCATGGGATGGGATCCTATGAGTTGCCACGACTCGTCGGAGATCGTGATTGTTTTTGAGAAGTTGGGTGTTCTGAGCTCACGAGTCGTCATCAGCTACGCCATGCTGCCATGGGATTAAAAGATGATACGATTCGCGAAGCTTTCAACTGGCGACATTCGATTGATCATTAACACGTATCCCGATCCCACTGGACATAGTAGGGACGCTCTTCGGATAACGCGGAACTTGAGTGAAGCCATTGGTATTGATTTGTTTGTTCAAGAAGGTCCGAGCAGGGTTTCATTCAGTAGGCAGAGGCCAGGGCTCAGCGCTCAGTACTCAGTACCCAGGACTGCGACGTCGTCACTACCAGTGGCTGCATGCTCCGTTACGTCCAAGGGGGAAGGAGAGATGTACTGGGGGCTGAGCGCTGATCAGTGAAAGAGTGCCGCGGGTAGGGTAATTTGACATCAGAAAGCGAACAGAGTACTAATCTGAATGGACGGCGGGAGGGACTTTGAAGGGAGAAGGGGATGTGGTGTGGCTCCGAGTCGGGAGGACTCCGGGTGGTCGTCTGAACTCTTCTTAGATTTTAACATTTACTGATGCAGGCGCGTTAAGCTGCATAAGATTGAGTTGAGTTGAGGTGGACGTTTAGGGGAGAGGAATAGTGTTGCCCCGGGAGACCCGGGAAGAAAAGATAGAGTGCCGTTTTGACTTTCCACAGTTTTGGAGAAAGCACTGTCAGCATTGACGATGTACAGAGCCCGAATATTCTCTTAAGTGAAATACTCCGCGCTGGGGGAACTTGGTGCAAGTGGAACGCGACGCCCAGAGACAGAGATAAGAGTCCAGACGCGTTTGTGGCGTGGGAAGACCAATCTCCTTGCCCGACGGACCATACTTCAAGTTCAAGCATCCGTCCCCCTCAACTCATTTTTCCCCGGACAAAAGAAAGAGACGAAGGCCTTTGG